AAAAAAAAAAAAAAAAAAAAGGAATTTGAAAAAAAAAAAAAAATGATTGATATGTTAAATAAAAGATTAGATATAGAAAAAGAAAAAGGCAACTTTTATTTTCTTCCTAAACATTTAAAAAAAAAAAAAAAATCAAAATTAAAAAAAATGATTATCTTAGAAAAAGAAGTAAAAAATAAAATTTATTTTGATATTCTACAAAAAAAGCAAAATGAAAATATCGCTAAAGATTTGTGTTACAACTTAATTAAAAATCAAATTAAATGGAAATTAAAAAATTATACTTACAAATTTTATTGTAGAAAATATATGCAAATATATATCTTTAAAGGAAAAAGAATAGGAAAAAGAATTTCCTTTATTAATAATTATGATATTAAAGATAATAATTACATGAACATAATAGAAGAAATTAATAATTTAAAAAATTTTATTTTATTAAATAAAAAATATTTAAAAAAAAAAAAAAAATTAGATAAAATAAAAAGTTATAAAAAAAATATGAAAATACATAACAGCAAAAATAAAGTAGCAAATATACAAAATGAGTATTTTCACAATGATATCAAGTATAACAATGAAGAAAATAAAACTCAAAAATATGAAATTAATAAAATGAGAATAAAAGAAATGAACTATAATGTAGGTAAAGAAAATGATAGCAATCACATGAGGTGTATGTTAGTTGAGCAAAATACAAGTAATATAAAGAATGAAAATATTAAAATTATAAAAAATTATGAAGAGAAATTTACAAAGAATGAAATTATGAATAGAAAAAAATTGAACACTGAGGTTGTAAATAATGAAAAATACAGAATACATAAAAGTATGAATGAAAATATGGATAAAGATAAGATAAAAGAAAGTATAATAAAAAATGATAAAATTTTAAATTATATTCAAGTTAGTAAAATAGAAAAAAAAATTTATATAAATGATTATGTAGACCACAAAATAACTGATGAATTGAATAACTTGGTTAAAGAATTTCTAAAAAAAATTGCAAAATCGCATGAAAAATTATTATTAAAAAAAAAAAAAAGATACTATTTAGGATTAAAAGAGAGTTATAAGCATATATGTATAAATGAGCCAAAACTAGTAATAGTCGCACCTAATATAGAACCAATGGTTAATAATGCATTTGGTGATTTATTAGAGAAAATAATTTATAAGTGTAAAGAAAAAAATATTCCTTTAATATATGCATTAAGCAAAAATTTACTAGGTAAATGCATAAGTAAATCTAGACAATCAATTATATGTGTAATTGATAATGACTCATATATAAAAGAATGTAATGATATTATAACTTTAGCTAACTCTCTTAAAATATATAAATAATACATTTTATTTAATGTTTAAAAAAATTGTAAAATTTTATCTTATGCTGCCATTTCACATTTTATATATTTTTAATACAAAAAAAAAAAAAAAAAAAAAAAAAAAATACATACTATTTTTTTGTATGGCATTTTTGTAAAGTTGTATAAGTGTATTTAATTACACTAGAAGTTTTTAAAAATCATTTTTTGTATTTTTTTTTTGTAGTCCCTTTTTTTTATTATTTTTTTGAATTAATAAATTTTTTTTTGTTGAAATTTAAAAAAAAATTCATGAACTTCTATATATTTGTATTATATTTTTTACATTTTAAATTTTTAAAATAATAAAATATCCTCATTTTCTTTATCTATACGTCTATTATATTATTTTTTCATGAAATAAGTTTTATTTTATTAAAAATAATAATAAATTAAATGAAATAACTTATAATATTTCTATTCAATGTAATTAATTTTTTTGTTAATGTAAAAGTAATTAAGTCAATTAAATAAAATTCTACTTTATTATTATTTTTTTTTTTTTATTTTAAAATTAATAAGAAAATAAAAAAAAAAAAAAATGAAAGAAATAAAGAAAAAATAATGAAAAAAAAAGATAGATTATTAAAAATTTTATTATTTGTCAAAAATAATAATTACCATATTGTTCTCAACTTCTTTTACATAACTTCTAAAAGCATAATAAACGTATTCAAGTTCAATTAATTTGCAAAGTTATTGTGTATAAATATTTAAATATATGTATATATAATGTTTCCAAGTTATTAAATAAAAAAAAAAAAAAAAAAAAAAATACATAATTATAAATAAAAAAAAAGAAATATATTCTTAATTATTTTCATTTTTAGCCAAATAAAGAAAATCCTAAATCGTCTTCTTCTTCCTCTTCTTCTTCTTTCTTTTCTTCTTTTTTCTCTTCTTTTTTAACTTCAACATTTTCTGTTGAACTTGCTGCTGCAGCTGCTACCGCTCCCCCTCCAATATTTTGTAATTTTTTTAATCCTTCATTAATTAAATCACAATGATTCTTTCCTTTCAGTGAATTTAAAAAATTACTTAATACTTCATCATCTATACCTGCATTTACTGCTTCTAATACATTTTTAACTTCATTTGTTCCTGGATTTTCATTTCCTCCTAATACACACATAAGATATGCTGCAACATATTTCATTGCCATTTTGATTAATTATACAACTGAATAAGAAGAAATATATATATAAATATATATTTATGTGAATTTGTATGAATGTATATATATTTATTTTTTCAAATTTTTTCATAAAAAAAATAAACTATCAAATGGGTATTAATGCTATATAAAAATTGTAAAATTAATTAAACTATTACATCATCATATTTATTATTGTATATATACGATTGTATTTACTATATAGAAAACATAATATTTATAATACAGTTAAGCATATATAACTATTATTAAATCATGAATAAAACAGTAAAATATTTTTATATTTATATATTTTTATATTTATATTTTTCTCTTACATTTAAAAAACTTTTTTTTAAAAAAAGAAAAAAAAATTAATATATATACCTTATTTTTGTATTATTTCAAAAAATATGCTTTCAATAGCCTAATGAATCAATTATAAGATTGATAAGATTAAAAAAATTATTTATATATTTTTTTTTCCTTTTTTTTTAAAATTTTTAATTAAAAAAAAAAAAAAGAAATAACAAAAATTATTTTTATAAAAAAAAAAAAAAAAAAAAAAAAAAGGTAGAAAAAATTAATAAGTATAATATTTAACATGAAATTTTTTTTTTTTTTTTTTTGTACTATTTTTATGTAACAAATGAAAATTACAAAGCATTTTCTTTCTTTCTTTTTTTTTTTTTTTTTTATAATTTTAATAATTTATTAATATGTTTTAATATTCATAATACTAAAATTATGAAAAATTTATTATATTTTTTATAAAAAGCAAAACATTATGAAATACTATAATTAATAATACATTCTAGTGTTCAAAGTGCAGTAAAGAAAGTATCATTATAACAGTTATCTTTGAAGTATTTTTTATATGTTATAAATAATAATAATGAAATAATACACATAAATATATATATATCTATAGAAGTTTTTTTTTGCCGGTATCTTAAAATTCCATTTTTTTTTTTTTTACTTTGAAGCAATGCTAAAAGAAAAAAAAATATATATTTAAGTATGAATTTGTAAATATAAATTTGTAAATAAAAATTTGTAAATAAAAATTTGTAAATATAAATTTGTAAATAAAAATTTTCCTTTCTATTTAAAACTTGAATATATTGTTCATTAAAGATAAAAAATTAAACTTTATGGTTTAAAAATGAAAAAAACATTTTATTTGTTTAAATTTGCAATTCAAGTATTTTAGTTAATATATATATATATATACTTATATATATATATATATATATATATATATAAATATTGGAATAATAATAAAAATAAAGTAAAAATTAAATAGATAAAAAAATGGTTTAAACCCTTTGATTTACGAAAAAATTATAGACTAAAATAAGAAAAAGAATTAAAAATTATAATTTTTAACATTAACTTAAAATGATACAATGAAAAAAATTCTCATTTGGTAGCAACCTTTACTATATTCTTATATATATGAATATATATTATTTTTTATATTTTTATAAATTTTTTAAGCAAAATTTTTATTTACATATATTTTTTGATTATTTTTTTTTCTATACAAAAATTCTTTTTTTTTTTCAAATTTTTATTTCAATATTTTTAACATCATCAAACTGTTTTGAATGTCGATGTATTCCTAAAACTGATCTACCAGATTGATCAGCATTTTTTTTAAACTCTTCGTCCCATTCAACTGCCTTACTTGTAGAACATGCGATTGATACTCCTTCAGGTACTGATTCGTGTGCACATTGGTCAGGAAAACATTCGGCAAATATACATCTGTATAAATATCCTTCTTTGGTTTTTGGTGTATTATATGGAAATAAAAAAGGAGCTCTTAAGAATTGTACATCAGATATTTTTTTTTCTGCATATTCTTTTAATCCATCAATCCAATTATATCCTACTCCATCAGAAAATTGTTCTTTTTGCCTGAACAAAATATGATCTGGTAGATAACCTACGAATGCTCTTCTTAAAATATCTTTTTCCATTTTATTATTTGTACACATTTTTTCTTGTGGATCTATATTCATAATAAGATCCAATAATTTTAAATCAAGGAATGGCACTCGTGCTTCTACACCAAATGCCATAGTCGATTTGTTTGCTCTTAACACATCATATATATGTAACTCATGAACTTTTCTTTGTAATTCTCTATGAAACTCTTCTCTGTTTGGTGCTTTATGAAAATATAAATAACCTCCAAATATTTCATCAGCTCCTTCTCCACTTAAAACCATTTTAACACAGGAACTTTTTATTAATCTAGACAGGATATACATAGGGGTTGATGCACGAATCGTAGTTATATCATAAGTTTCAATATGATAAATTACATCATGTAAAGAATCCACTCCTTCTTCTACAGTAAAATGAAATTCGCTGTGATGAAGACCTAAATATTCGGCTACTTCTTTAGCTGCTTTTAGATCAGGCGAATTTTTTAATCCTATAGAAAAACTCCTCAATTTTCTTGAAATAATATCATTATTACTAGATGAGTTATCTAATGTTTTTAAGTGTCTTGCAATAATAGAAGCTACAATAGACGAATCTAATCCTCCTGATAATAAAACACCAAATGGCACATCCCCCATTAATCTTTTAATAACTGCTTTTTCTAAGTGTAGACGAATTTCATTTAAGTCAGCTTTGTTATTAGGAATAGAACTATTTAAGTCCCACCAGTTAGGGTTATAATACCTTACAAATTCACCTTTATTATTAGTATTTTTATAATAATGACCTGGAGGAAAAGTAACATATCTTATACAATGACCTTTTAATGCTTTAAATTCAGAAGCAAACCAAATAGAACCATCAGAAGCATAACCCATATATAAAGGACATACCCCTATAGGATCTCTAAAAGCAAAAAAAGTATTATTCTTTTTATCACTTATTACTCCAGAAAAAATTCCATATAACATAGAAGGCATTTTTTCTTTATATATTTTATATAAATTTGGTATAACAGCACAATCAGAAAAACTTGTTAAACGATTTAAACATTCGTCTTTTATTAATTTCCTTAATTCTAAATGATTATATATTTCTCCATTAATAGTTAAGCATATCTCTTTTTCATCATCATATAATGGTTGATGACCAGATAATACATCAACTATAGCCAACCTCTCATGAGCAATAGCATTTAAAGTTTCATCATTGTTCTCTTCTATTACTATACCATTCCAATCAGGCCCTCTATGTCTTAATCTAAGATAAAAAAGAAAAACATAAAAATATTTATAAATAAAATAACGTATGCATGCATATTTTTTCTAAATAAGTGTTTAAATTTTTATAGAAATTTATGATAATATAAAATACAAGGAAAATTAATGCATATAAAATTATAAATATAAAAAATTAATAAAAATTTAATATTCAAAAGTGCTAAAATAATTCAATGCATTTCATATGTTCTGACAATATTGAAAACTATATAAATAACTCTTAAATTACAAAAATGTTAAAAAAAAAAAAAAACCAATAGGAGAATAACAAAACTATCATAAAAAATTAATAAAGAATATTTTAGTAAAACTACTATAATAAAAAAAATTGGTGGTTAAGTAATTGAAATTTTAACACATTCAAAAATAAACCCGTTTTAATTTATATGTAAATTTTTTAAATATTAGTATTTTTTTTTTTTAATTCACTTAATACTTTTTTGATGAATCAAGGGCCTTTCTTCTTAATCTATTTTTATCAACAGATGAATGAAAAATTGCAAGAATACCACACATTATTTAATGTAATATATATTTTTATTATAATTCTTTTTTTTTTTTAGGATAGAAATGTATCATAAGATTTACATGTATTTTTTTATAAAATACTATAACATATATAAAAAATAATAAATTATAGCTATATATTTTTTTATTTTTTTTTTTTCTTACATGCCACTTTTTTATTTATTATTTTTTTTTTTTTTTTTTTTTACATGCTACTTATTTTTTTATTTTTATGCATTTTATTAAGAGGGTATTCTTTTTTTTTTTTTTTTTTTTTTTTTTTTTCCTTATTATTATTTTTTTAAAATTTATTATTAATATTATTTTATTTTTTATTTTATTTTTTTTTTTTTTTATTATTGTTTATTTTTTTTATTTATTATATTTTCAGTTTTTTTGTAATTTTTGAGCTTATTATTTCACATGTTTTAATATAATTTTTCAATGAATTTTTAAGTTTATTTATATTTATTTTTTTATATATTCATAGTGATATATTTTTTTGAAAATAATTATTTTATTTCGATATATATCAAAAATTTACATGAAATATACTGATATTAAAAATATTTTGTTCTTTTTTTTTTATATATATAAAATATTTTCATATTATTAGCAAATTTATAAACAAAAAATATAAATTTTTTATTTTCTTGACTATTTCAATATGATGAAAAAGCTAACCCAGCTCATCTGAAAAATATCATGAAGATTATATTTTCATGCATCACAATCTGATTGAAATAGTTAATTATTAATAAATACAAATGTATATATATGTGTGTATAAATATAAATTAACGATAAATCAAACTTTTCTTTTTTTTTTTTTTTTTTTTTTAAGTAGAATAATACTTATAATAATTATATTTATATTTTAATGAACAATTAATTTTGTAATGGTACTTTGATTTTATTTTAAAAATTTTCTTTTGTAATTTTGATTAATATGCAAATTTTACTTCTTTTATAATTCATTTCTATATAAACAATTATTCATGAATTATTCTGAAAATAAAAAAAAAAAAAATACATGAAACATCCTCCTCTATCTTAAAATTTGCATTAATTTCAAAAATATTTAGTTCATCATAATTTAATATAAATGAATTTACAGTGAGGAGAATAAGTATATATTTTCTATATGAAATTACAAAATATAAATAAAAAGGTACAAAAATATTAATTTTGTTAATAATTACATAGCATATATTAAAATAAACTAAAAAATATAGTACATATATATATAAATATATATTATATACATATATGTATTTCTTAATGTATTATATAAAAGAAAAAAAAAGAGAAAAATCATATATAAAAGCTTTTAATATGTATCAATTTTAATGAAGTCTAACTCTTGAAAACATTAAAAAAATAAAAGGTATAAAAAAAAAAACAATGAATTTATTTCATTATTATGAACAATTCATGTTTATTTTTTTTCATTTTTCAATACATGAATCATAAAACAAAGAATAAAAAAAAAAAAAAAAAAAAAAAGAAAATTAATAACGAATAAAAAATAAACTATTATTGAATTAAAATAAAATATAAATTATACGAAAATACATAAATTATAAAGTTATAAAATATTTAGTGCAAAAAAATGAGAAAAAAACCCTTTTTTTTTTTTTTTTATTAAAATTATTACATATTTATAATATTAGACATTAATTAAAAATATACTTCTTTCTGAATATATTGAAATGTATCTCAAAGAATGAAAGTATACATTGTTAACTATAAATTACACATATTTCCATGTGAATTATTATTCTTCATATGATCAATCATCCACAGGTACATTATTTCTCAAAGCACTAAAAAAAATGCAATGATATTGCACTTGCATCATTGAATCAAAATTAGTTGTATAGTAATTATCTATCCATTTTATTTCTAAAAAAGAAAACCATTTGGAAATAATCAACTTAATTTCATCCCATGATAATTCTATAGACATTTCATTTGGCATTTCAGCATAGTGATATAAAAGAGGGCCAATATTTGACCATAAAGAATTAGGTTTTAAAATATTGGCAAAGGTTCGAATGTACATAAAAACATTTTTAGCTGTATCTAAAAAAAAACATGTCAAAACACCATCAAATTGCTCTTTTTCATTATAATACACTTCAATTAATTCACCTGCACACATTGAAAATTCAGTATTTAGTACGACTTTATTATAAGTATTTACATCTGGTAATTGTATAATTTTCAAATGATCATCTCTATTTTTTCTGTTTGATGTACTTAAACAATATGGTTGAATATTTAAAGAGTTTTTTTCATTATAATAATTTAAAATATAGTTAGATGCTAATAGCATAAAGTAAGAAAATTCATTACCTTGACTTCTATATCCTTTTTTTGCTACTTCATATGGTAATCTACCTAACCCTGATCCTGGACATAAAATTTTAGGAACATAATTATCTGTTATAGGTAAATATTTATCTAAACTCCTTAGGATAGGATCATATGCATTTTCTCTTTCATTTTTTCCTTCATATGACCAATCACGAACAAATTGTCTCAATGTACTTCTCACTTTGCTCATATTTTGTATTAAGCTATAATCATCTAATGAAGGAGTATAGGTATTTGTTATTCTTAGACCTGGTGGAATGTGCTCATATTTAGAATAATCTTCACTTACTGATATATTCATATTTTGTTTTTCATTTATTTTCAAATGATCATTTACTTCATTAGATATTTCGTTGATATTTTTGTTAGAAATTTCATTAAGCATTTCATCTGTATTTACATTGGACACATTGGATATATTTGAAGTTTTAGGTTCATATAATTCATTATTTAGTTCAATAGAGTTCATGTCATTTTTACTTTTTTTATTTTCATTTTTTAAATTAATATGAGTGCAATCACTCAACTCATCTTTTATTGTGAATTCTTTATCTTCGTTATAAATGCTAACATTATTTTTTTTATTACATAAATTAGAATTTTTTTTGTCATTTAAAATATCATTTTCTTTTTTTTCATCATTATTAATTCTTTTTTTTAAATTATCATTACAATCATTTTGCATGGTGTTGTTATGCTTCTCATTTAAATCAAGTCTTTTTTCTTCATATCTATAATTTTGTTTTTTATCATTTATGTTTTTATTATTTTCATTGCATAAATAATTATTATTGTTATCATTTTTATTTTCAGTTAAATGTTGTCCATTCAAATGATTATCACCTTCACTATTATCTGAAATACTTTTTTCATTTTTTAAATCAAGCATTTCAAATATATGTTTATCATTTTCATTATATGGCAATTTAGATTTGATTTCATTTAATATGATTATTGCATCATCTTTACATAAAAGTCTTGCATCAAAATTATGATAGTTATAAATTTTATCAACCTTTTCTTTTTCTTCAACTGTCAAATTATCAATAATTTCATTCACAATATATTCCTCCGTTGTATCATTGTCATCCTTATGGAATGTAAAAGCTAATAAATGGATTATAATATTTGTTGATATTTGAGGTAGTAATATATTTAGTATAAAAAAATAGTTATTCAAAACAGATAAATACATTTTATATAATTTACAATATATTGATTCAGTTAACAAACTTTTTTCTTCATCACTTAAAAAACAAAAGCTCTTATATATTCTTAATAACTCATAAAAACAATATTTTTTATAATATAAAAAAGAAAAACATACATTGCAAAAATGCCTTTCTTCTTCATAATTTAATGATTCAATGTCATTACATTCATCACAAATATATTCCTTACAATGATTATCATTGGAATGATTATCATTCGAATGATATTTTTTTTCTTCATTGTTTGATAATTTATTTACAGATGAATTATCACTCTTGTCTTTATTCAAAAGAATATTTTTCAAATTATATTTATTATTTTCTAATAAATCTTTATTTAAGTCATTGTCTTCCTTATGTATTATATTATCACATGTATCATTTTTATTTACATTTATCTCTTCAATTTTATTAGCATTATTTATTATTCTACTATTTTTATAATCTTTTTCATTATTTAAAATATGTTTATTATTATCTATCTTTTTTTTCTTCTTTTTTTTAGATTTTTTTTTTAATTGATTTTCTAAAATATAACAAAAATAAGAAAAAAAATATAATAGACTTATATTTATATATAGACAAAAATTAATATGAAAAAAAAAAAAAGTTTAAAGGGAACAAAATAATAAAAAAAATTAATAATCAAATTAAGGTTTCATATATTACCTCAATTTACCAAAAAAAAAAAAATATTATAAAATTTTAAATTTAATAAATAATTTTCAAATATTTTTATGTATATCTTTTTACCTTGATAATATTTTGTTCCCATACTTTTTGATTCACTTATCCTCATATGTATTTTTTTATGTGGTACAAAATTATCTAACAAAAAAAAAATATATTTATATATATATATATATATATACAGAATTTTATTTCCTTAAAGTAAATTAAAATTTTTTTAAAAAAAAAGTAACAATTAGAGTATATATATATATATATAAAGAAAAAAAACCTACTACTATAAAGGAATTATAATTTTTAATATATGAAGAATGACAAAAAATATAAAACAAACAGCAATTTTTTTAATTTTATATTATTTTTTTCCTTTAAATAAAAAATAGAAAGAAAAAATAAATAAGATATAAAATGTTAATTTAATCCTTTTTTTTTTTTTTTTCTTTAAAATGGTTAATTGTTTTAATTATTTTAATAATTAATATCCAGAAAGAATTTCATAAAAAAAATAAATTCAATAAATTTTTATTAATAAAAAATACTATATAACAAGATTAAAAGAAGTTATAAAAATTTAGACATGAAACAATAAAATGGTTTAAACATATTAGAATAAAGTTTTTTTTTTTTTTTTTTTTTTTTTTTTT